AATGAACAATGAGTTTTTCCTGAAGTGACATTTGAAGTTTCCAGGAAGAAGATGGGGCCCCACAACAACAACTCTACCTGGTTGATATGACGTCATGATATTGATAGCGCTACTACAAGACCTGTTTTGGGTACCAGCTGCACAAGACGATCCCAACTTGGTTAGCTGAAATGGTGCACATCTTGTACAACATTCTGGCCAGACCTCCACAAAATACTCAGAGACTATTTGCAATTTTAAAAGACATTGATCTTGAAATTTAACCATCATTTTACTTTCACAAAATCCCCCAGAAAGAACGTTGCCCCCATGACAGCTGGAAGTAATTTTAGAGGATGACGTCCCCTCTCCCAGTAAAGTTTTCCCCTGGGTTTAGGGACATCATTTAGGGGTTGGGAGGTTGGGGGAGGAATTTTATAAGCTCAGGGATCATTTTGAAAAAAAAAAAAAGAGGGAATGATAGGATAATAGATTTATAATTGTGAGTTACTGCTTTTAGACAAATATATTGGTATCGATTCTTGTATATTGATACAAAGTTAAATTATATTGACTATTGTATGCATGCATGTTTCTATGTCTGTTTAAAACATTTTTATGTATTGACATATATTGTATTGATATATATATATTGTATATATTTACCATATTGCAGTGTACATTTCTACCTCTGATTAAGATACTTATATGTTTGTGTATTGATATATATTTACCATATTGCAATGTATATTTGTACAGTGTTTATATTTGGAGGTCATTATCCTCATTTGTTACACAGTTGTTCATTGTCTTAGTCTTTAAGTTAGATAGATATTGAGAATTATGTAGATAAATAGTCATCTAAGTTTGTCATTTATAATTAGACTAATCAGGTTCTCTAGATATATAGAGTTATGCTCAGTATAGATAATCTTCAACCTCTTCAAAGAGCTGTAGAAAATGGCCTTTAATCTAACTCAGAGTTTCGTGATAGTGAGACACAATTGCTCCTGGCAACACCGCTCTATTCCCGAGAGAATGTTGAGCACCAAAGACACTCCATCTGGAGCCTTTCTATTTGGCAGAACTGGCCTTTTGGCAAAGAAATGCCCATACCTCAACCACTGACAGAGATACATCAATGGATAAAACAGGACTGTCATATCCTGCCAAGACAGGGTATGATAGTTTTGAAAAGTTCCTTGCCTTTAATAATGGTATGTCAGTTATGTTAGGCCTTAGCCAAAATTGGTTGACTCAACATTGCAAAGGAGACTTTGGGTGATTGCCCAGGTAGTCAGTTGTCTCTGTCAATCGTTGCATATTTTGGATATATCTCGTTTGCTGAGTAGTGTTTATTCCCTTCTCAGATCTTTGACGGAGTTGAAGATTATATAATTGTAGTTACTCTCTACATTATTTGGACTCCTTGAGATAGAATGTTTAGCAAAGCTTTTGTTCTCAATATTGTTTGCTATATTTATTATTTGTTGTTATTGTATATAGTTGTATTTGGTTTGGTTCTCTCTTATTTAGACAAAAAGGGGAGATGTAGGGATAAGTCCCACCCCTTGGGGGGCGTGTTCACCTTGGGCTAATGTCTGCCTATAAATTTGGCGAGCGTGCTCCCAGCCCTCTCTTTCTGCTTTCCTGGTCTCCGCGGGAATGGTGGTTCTGTAAGTCTATTTCGCCATTAAAGCTATATATATTTTTACAATCTGTCTGCATTCGTTTACGCCGTTACATCACCAAAATGCTTGCCTACTAAGATCGTGCAAAGCAAAGAGTGGGGCCTGCAAGATGGCTCAGCAGGTAAAGGTTCTCGCCATGAGGCCAGATGACTGGAGTTGGCGCTCTAGGACCCACATGAGAGAAAGACAGAACCTACTTCCAAAAGCTGTCTTCTGGCTTCCACACGTGTATGCTGACATGCATGTCTACACATGCACATGAACACACATACTATACCAAATATTTTTGAGACAAGGTCTTTCCATGTAGCCTTGGCTGACCTGGAACTCTAGGTAGACCAGGCTGGCCTCATACTCATAGACATCCACCTGCCTATGCCTCCTGAGTGCTGGGATTAAAGGCGTGCACCACTAGATCTGGACAGACTTATTTTTACATGACGTGTATGAGCATTTTGTCTGCATGTATGTAAGAGCACCATACGTAGCTGAGGGAGGTCAGAAGAAGATGTCAGATTTCCCTGGACATACAGATGGTTGTGAGCTGCCATGTGGGCGCTGGGAATTGAACCATGGCCCTCTGCAAGAGCAGTCAGTGCTCTTAATTCTCTCCATTCCCTAACAAATATAGTAATAATAATAATAAAAAGGGAAATCCAGACCTGGTGGCTCACACCTTAAATTCCAGAACCTGGGAGGCAGAGGCATTTAGACCTTTGTGAGACCCAGGTTATTCAGGGTTACACAAAGAGACCACGTATGGCAATAAATAAATAAATAAATAAATAAATAAAATTAGGAGGAGGAGGAAGAAGGAAAGACAGACAGGCAGACAGATCTTAAGGCCAACTGACTGAAAGCATGAAACAAATCAGACATTGCAATCAACACCTTCTCAAAGGACAGGAGCAGGTGGGCCCACAAATGGAAACAGAAATAACAGTCATTACAAACAAAAGTGTGTTCGGGCCAGACATCGAAAACAAGCTTTAAAATAGCATTACAAAGCACCCTAACTGGGTAAGGGACTGCACAACAGCAGGTGGGGGCCGGTGACGATCTGTCTTGGACAAGTTTATGAATGAGCGTCCTGTTATTCAAGCGCAATGGCCTAGGGAGTGGGGAGCTGGGAGTCAGTCATTCCTCTCTTTGTTCCTGTAATTATCCCCAGGAGCAGGCCCATCGCCAATCGGTGTGGGACAATGGATGTGCACAGCAGGGTCCTTCCTCAGAGAACCCAGCAAGGAGGAGGTGTCATCTGGTAGAGCCACCCTTGGGGCCCAGAGTTCCAGAGAAATGGTGCTACGGCTGAGATTAGAAGGGTGTGTATGCACGAGTCCCTCCCCATCGCACCCCCAAACATCCCCAGTGCCTTTGAAGTTCGGTCACTACACTCGCCAGTGGCACTGCTGAGAGACACCTTTGCAGCGAGCCTTCAGCGCTCACTCAATGTCATCTCTGAGAACCCTTCCTTGACCACGCTCTACTGTGTCAGGGTGGGCCAAGCCCGGGCTTCATCTCTACAGCTCCGTTATTCTCTCGGAATAGAATTTTTTTTCCAGTGTGTGTTTTAAATTTTTAAAATTTGCATTAGTAAATTAATTAACTTACTGTAACATATGGGCCACAGTGCGCATGTGAAGTTAGGGGACCCTCCATGTGGATCCTGGGGATCAAACTCAGGTCAGGCTTGGCAGCAAGCCTTTGCTGATCCGTCCTGGAACTCCCTTTGTCTGTGCGAATGTGTCTGGTGTGTGTATGTGTTTGCATGCTCTCTGTGCATGTTTGTCTCTGTGTGGGTGACATCTGTGTGGAGCCCAGAGGAGAGCCTGAGGGAGCATCCTCAGGAACCCTGCACCTCCTCTGAGATCTGGTCTCCCACTGGCCTGGACCCAGCCATTAGGCGAGACTGGCTGGCCAGCGAGTCTGCTGTCACCAGCGCTGGGATTACAAGTGTTCTACTCTGTCCGGCTTGATGTGGGTTCTGGGGTTGTCCCTGCTTTCAAGGCAAGCATTTTATGGACTGAGCCATCCCCAGCCCCAAATCTCTTTTTAATGTGTGTTCTCATTGGGTGGAGACTTTCATGTGGGTGGGAATTCTGCTTCATGGGGATATGGGGAACCCAGCACCATATCCCCAACTCAGTGACCCCAGACTGACATTCCTAATCTAAAGATACAAATGCGACCTTACAACGCCACGTGTGGAAAAGTCCACGACGGCGCTGGCAAGACCGCTAAAGTGCTCTGGAATTCCAGAGAGCTGTCCTCTTGCCTCCGAAACAGCACTGTGGCATGTGGGTCCTCTCCCAGCACACCATACACAACAAGATAATAAAAAAAAAAAAAATCACACATCAACATTATTTCCTGTACAAAATTGTGTTCCAAAATACAATGTGACTTATTCATTGTGTGTCTCTGTGTCAAGTGCCGTGAGTGTCTGAGGACAACTTGAGATGGTTCTCTCCTTTTTCCATGTTGATTCCGGGTATCGAACTCAGGTCCTCGAGCTTAGTGGCAAGCACCTCTACCTGCTGAGCCATCTTGCCTGCCCACAACATTGTTGTTATTATACTATTTTCAGACAGAGTCACACCATGCAACTCTTGTTATCTTGGAATTCACAGAGATCTATGTCATGGGATTAAGCGCATGCACCTCCATCCCTGGTAATACAAAAGCCTTTTTAAAGGGGCCTAAAATTACCTTTAGGCTCTGTGTATGAGAAACAAATCAATGTTGTTCTAGACGTTGGTTCAACGACTAAGACATGACACATCAATATGGAAATATTCCCAAGTCTGGAAATGCCCGGAATCTGAAACAGTTTGGGTACGGAGGGTTTTGTTTTGTCACGTGTATTTGTTTTTGAAACAGGGTCTCACTGCGTAGTCCAGCTGGCCAGGAACTTGTTAGGCAGACCAGGCTCTGACTCACAGATTCAGCTGCCTCTGCCTGAGCATGCGGAGATCACAGGTGTGCCCACCACGTCCCGCTATGCAGAGTATTCTGGAGTAGGGACACTCAGCTGTAATGGGTTTAGCCAAGGTAACTAGGAGTAAATGAGTAAAGTTTGGACTTAACCTACAGTAAAGAGATTCGTGGGGCTCCTTTAGTTGGGAGACTACAATAATATTACGAGACAAGATCCAACCAGGTATGAGAAACAAAACCAAAAAAAAAAAACAAAGCAGAATGGGGGGGGGTCGTCGGTATTTTCATCATAATGTGACTTCCAGAACACTGGCATATCCAGCCGCCCAGCCTAGGGCTCGGCCTCCCATTTCTGGGTGATGGACAGTGTCTGGCACAGAGATAGGGACTTACCCACAGACGCAATGTCACCCAGCTGGTCCTCGGCCTCCTCAGGGTTGAGCAGGTCCGTCTTGCTTTTCTTCAGGGTAGCTCTCCGCAGAGCTCCAACAAGGGAAACATGGCGAGAGAAGACGGCATTACCCTTTCATGCCAGGGTGGCAGCAGACACAGCGTGCTGCCATGCCCACTGATCCACAGCATGCCCACTGCATCCACGTGCAAGCTGCCACTGGGGAAGGCAGGGAGTCCAGACAGGAGTCTAGTACTGTTCAGTTATAGTCCGAAGTCCAGGCTCAGAAACACTGTTTTCAACCTGGCCAGTTTTTATTATTTATTTTAATTAGCAATTATTATTTTATGTGCCTGGGTGTTTTGCCTGAGTGTATGTCTGTGTAGCACATGTGTACAGCGCACACAGAGGGCAGAAGAAGGCATCTCATTCCTTGAGACTGGAGTTAAGAATGTTGTGGTCCACCATGTGGGTGCTGAGAAAGTAAACCCAGGTCCTCTGGAAGAGCAGCCGGCACTCTTAACCTCTCGGCCATCTCTCCAGTCCTGTTTGTTTTCTGAGACAGGGTGTCACTACATAGCCCTGGCTGCCCTGGCACACACAGAAATTCACCTGCTTCTGCCTCTGGAGCACTGAGATCACAGGTGTGCATCACAATGCTGGCTCTGGTCCATTTGAATATTCAGAGCAGGGTTCACGTCCTAGAAGTTCTGGGACAGGAGGTATAGTCCACCCTTAACCTAGCACACATGTGCTGCACTGGCTGGGGCTGGGACAACTGTCCCGTGCCAAGGCTTGCTCCCCAAGGCTCTCCAGCAGATGTACACTCTAAAGGAGACTCGAAACACTCCAGAGAGAATCACTTTCTACTCCCAAGTAAAAGATCTATGATTCTTAATTTCTTTTTGTCATTTTGCTATTTAAATTTTTTTCCTAATTGTTTTTTTGTTGTTGCTGCACAAAATAGTGGTTTTTAAGAAAAGATTTAGCTGGGCGGTGGTGGCGCACGCCTTTAATCCCAGCACTCGGGAGGCAGAGGCAGGCGGATCTCTGTGAGTTCGAGGCCAGCCTGGTCTACAAGAGCTAGTTCCAGGACAGGAACCAAAAGCTACGGAGAAACCCTGTCTCGAAAAATCAAAAAAAAAAAAAAAAAAAAGAAAAGATTTAAGACGGGTGGTGGTGGTGCATGCCTTTAATCCCAGCACTAGGGAGGCAGAGGCAGGCAGGCAGATCTCTGCAGGCTCAAAGCCAGCCTGGTCTACAAGAGCTAATTCCAGGACAGGCTCTATAGTTACAGAGAAACCCAGTCTTGAAAAAACAAAAGAAAAAAAAAAGATTGAAAAAGAAATCAAGTGCATGTGTATTTGTGCACACGAGTGGCCAGAAGAGGGGTCAGACCCTCTGGAGTTGGAGAGACAGGCGTGAGCTGTCATGTGGGCACTGGGAGGGGAACCTGGATCCTCTGGAAGAGCAGCAAGTGCTCTTAACTGAGGATTCATCTCTCCAAACTCCCCCAAATAGTAGGACATTTTTATACACCTGTAACACTGCACTGTACTTCCTATCTGTCTTCCACTGCTTTTCCCTGCTCCTACTGCACCCACTGCTGGGCGGGGCTGGGATTTAGGAAGCAACTGAGCTGCAGGGATCTGGTTGGTTGGAGTGGACCACATTTTTCAGGGACAGTGGGGGTGGGCAGTCATCTCCCCCCCTCCCTTTCTTGGCAGTGCTGCAGACGAATCCCAGAACTTTATGCATGTGCTCTGTCAGTCTAGCCCGGAGATGGGATTCTTCCTCATTATTAGTAACACTGGTGTGTGCGCACGTATGTGTGTGCGCACGTATGTGTGTGTGTATGTGTATGTGTTAGCTTGTGTGCATGAATGTGTGCACACACTTCTTTCTCTGCTTCTGCCATGTGGGTTCTGGTGATGGAACTCAGGCCACTAAGCTTGCACACAGACATCTTCATCCACTGAATCATCTCACCAGCCCTATTATGTGCACTTTACAGAAGAGCAACACTGTGGACACACGGTTAAAGGAGAAAAGGGCAAGTCAGGAATGAACCTCCCCCTGCTCCCCACGAGGTTCTAAAATTCCTCCCAGAGGCCCATTCCTCAATAACTCAAACCTCCATGCACAGCCCAGTCTCACATCTCTTCCTGGCATGGCCTACTTATACCGGCTAGAACCAGTCACCCGTGCCCAGCCCCAGCTAACCCCACTCCCCTGGGACCCGTCTTCATGCTGGGCTCAGAGCAGTTACCATCAAAAGGGTGTCTCTGCTCCACGTCGGTTTCGTCTTCTGCAAGGATCACCTCTTCTGAGGAGAAAAGCAGAGTTAAGGTCCTTCCTGAAGGGCTTTCCAGATTGACCATCAAGGACGGACCCTGGCCACACTCACTGCCCCCGGCCAATGGTCCAGTCCAACCTGATCCAGGCAGCTCAGCTGCTTTCTAAATCCTGGCCCCACCTAGCAGAGGGTATAATCGGCAGCAGAAGTAGTTTGGATGTAATTTAGGCATAGGTGGACTCCACACTGTGGAACAGCGCTTTGGGGACAGGGCAGGTCCTTAAGTTACAGGATGTGTGTCCTTGGAAGGGACGTACGAGCTCTTTGCACAAGTCAGCTGTCAGGGTAAGCCTGTTCTTCGCCCATTTCACTTCCTTGTCTGATGATATCTATTAAATCCAAGCTCCACCACGTCCAGCACAGACCTAGAGTCTTCTCTAGGCTGAGTTCCTTTGGAGCCATGACCTTGAACCTTAGTTCTGTGGTCAGACGTGAAACATTTGAGCCCCCAGACCCCAGTTGGTGTTTGGTGTTTGGGAAGGTTGCTTGGAGGAAGCAAGTCACTGGGGGCGGGTCTTCCGGCTTACAGCCAAGCACCACATCTTGTTCTGGTTCTGCTTGTCCGCTGAGTGTGAATGTCATGCAACCAGCCAGCCTACTGCTCCTGCCATCATACCTCCACCTCCCACTGCCATGTCTACCCACCCTGACCGGCTCTATCACTTTGGAGCTGTGTGGAGCCAAAACAAAACCTTTGCCTCTTAGGTTGCTTTCATCACAGCAGGAAGAAAGTAAGAGACACTTAGTAACCGCTGATGTTTACCTCTTCCCGTCAGTAGTCAGCCTTGGATACCATGTTATAACTACAACTGGACTAATGTAACAGCATAGGCTAACCTCAGGCTTCTGGCCCTGCTCAGCCTGGCCTGCCAGGGACACCAGTTCCAGGACCTCTGCACTTGCTCTTTCCCCTCTCTCAACCTCTCTCCCACTCAGCAACCCCAGAGCTCCCCTTTCACTTCCTTTATGTCTGTGTTCAGATTTGTTTGTTCAGAGAGACCTTAGCTGTTCAGCTGACCCTAGCTGTCCCCTGCCACCTTGCCTTTTCTCTTCCCTACTTCTGTGTTTGAGACAGTCTCGCTGTGTAGCCCAGGCTGGCCTCCCACTCCCGATCCTCCCGTTTTACTGCCCCAGTGCTGAGACAAGGTGTTTCAGGATGCCTGGTCTTGCTTATTTTCCTTCTTTGCTCTTGGTGGTGGAGCTTGTCTCTCCTAGCCAGCAGCAGGGATCTGCCACATTCTCAGTGTGTACGACCACTGCGCATGGCACAGAGCATGTGTCCTGTTTTTGCCAGATGCCTGGTAAATAAACACATGCCTACTGACGTGAGGTGCTACTCTGACCGGCTCAGCCTGGGTGTCTTACTGAATCCTCAGCAGCCCTGTGAACAGGTGGTCTGCTCCCCACAGGGACTGGTTCTGCTTCCATGGATTGACCCCAACACAGCCCAGAAACACTGAGACAAAAGTGCATCTATATGGAATATTAGTTTAAGATGTGTTGCATTCTTTTATGTTGCATTTGTTTAATCTGTAAGGCTATGTTATTTGCCTGTCTAAAACATTTGATTGGTCTAATAAAGAGCTGAACGGCCAATAGCTAGGCAGGAGAGGGATAGGTGGGGCTGCCAGGCAGAGAGAATAAATAGAAGGAGAAATCCAGGGAACAGAAGAAGCCAGGGAACAGAAGGGGCCAGCCACACAGCCAGCCACTCTGTCAGCCATGGAGGAAAAAGGGGAGAAAGGCATATAGAATAAAGAAAGGTAAAAAGCCCAGAGGCAAAATACAAAAGGAGATAAATGGGTTAGTTTAAATTAGGAAAGCTGGCAAGAAACAAACCATGCTAAGGCCAGGCATTCATAAGTAAGAATAAGTCTCCATGTATTTATTTGGCAGTTGGGTGGCAGGCTCCCAAAGAATAAAAAAGAAAGAAACAAACAAACCCAACAACATCTGTACCCAACGTTCACAGACATTTTTCTGTCCTTCCCTAGCAATACACAACTACCTAAGGCACTAGGCTACTGTGAGTCCAAGACCCCATTGGAGGTGGCCTGAAGGCTACAGATATACTAGGTCATTCTGTAGGGCTCTGGGCATTTGCTGATTCTGGTGTCTGTGGGTTCCTGAAACTAAGTACCCAGATGCCACTGGATTCCTTCACTATCACCACCTTCATTTAACAGCTAAGGAAACTGGGTCATTGCAGAGGTACAGGGCTAAGAGGAGTTGGAGACGGGACATGCACCCATGTTTGATTTAAAACATGACTAGGATAAACCAGCTGTGGCAGAAGCAAGAGGATCAGGAGTCCATGGTCATCCTTGGCTAGTTTGAGACTAGTCTGGGCTACGTGAGCAACGAGCCCCTGTCTCAAAAGCAAGCAAACAACCAAGCATTTAATCCCAGCACTCTGGAGGCAGAGGCAGGTGGATCTCTGTGAGCTCAAGGCCAGCCTGGTCTACAGAGTGAGTTCCAGGACAGGCTCCAAAGCTACAGAGAAACCTGTCTTGAAACAAACAAACAAAAAAACCAACCAACTAACCAAACAGAAACAAGAGATGGTCTCTCTCTCTCTCTGTGTCTCTCTGTCTCTGTCTCTCTCGTTTGAAGGAGGTCTCACTATATAGCCCTGGCTAGCTTCAAACCTAACCTTCCTGTCTTAGCCTCATGTGATGGTTGGTTTTAATGTCACCTTTTTACAAATTAGAATCGTTTGAATGGGAAGCCTTGTCTGAGGAATGGTCTTGTCTTATCTGGTGTGGTGTAGCAGCCCAGAGGGCAATGGCATGGCAGAGGAGGTTGTCTGGGTCTCTCTCAGAGGAGCCAATCTCTCCTTCATTTGCTGCTGCTGATCCTTCTCTGGTATCAGAACCAGCCTTTCCAGGCTTCTGTCACTGAGGACATGTGACTCTCCAGGTTTTTGGTACCAGATAGGGACTTCCAAGGCACCCAAGCCTAGAGATGGAGGAACTACTGTGTCCCTGGGCTTTGCAGTGTGGAGAACAAGCCAGTAACCAGTGTTCCTCCATGATGTCTGTTTCATCAATTCCTGCCTTGAACTTGTGCCCTTGACTTCCCTCAGGGGTGGGCTATAAAGAGTAAGCTAAGATCGACCCTTTTGGTCATAGTGTTTCCCAGAGCAAGAGCAAGTGAACCAGCAGCGCCTCCAACGCTGGGCTCCAGGTGGGCATCACAGGCCCTGCTCCGCAGCTGGCAACCTGAATCCTGTCTCCACCCAGCACCCTCCCTTAGACCCCTCCAAAGGGCAACTGCGATTCTGGGATGCCATCTCTGGACCCCAGGGTGAAAGGACCTAACCTGCTTTTGAGATCCACTCCATGTATCCATTGAGCTCACGTTCAATCTGCTGTTGTCTCCTGAGCTTCAGAAAAGCCCTCCGGTTCTCCACACGTTCCCTTTCTTTGGCAAACTCCCTGCAGGATCACAGAGAAGCCAGAGGTTGGCGGTGATAGGGTTTGATCGGGAAACACCCGTCGATCATGGGCAGAGCCCTGGGATCCCCCCCACAGCACAACATAAACCTGGCATGGGAGCACGTGCCTCTTATTCCAGCCCTCAGAAGACGGAGGCAGGAGAATCACAAACCCAAGGTCATCATTCTGGGCTACAGGAGACCCTGTCTTAAAAACAGAAAACACTCTCTTGACTCCCCCAACAACACGGATTTTGTTGTTAGGAAAACTTTCAGAGGCCACGTGTGTTTGGAGATGCGGTGAAGCGCAGTGGTTCTCAACATGGAAGTCAGTCCTCTAGGAGGGCGTCCTAATCTTTCAGGGCTGGGAGTGTCTGACAGTGTACACATTTCCTGATGTTCCCATACATCTGAGCTTGAAGTTAAGCCAACTGTTGCTGCCACACACCAATTCCATCTCTCAGAACACTCCTGCTAAACCCTTCCAGTCTGCTTGCTGTCAGCAGTTCTCCTTCCTGTTTGGCTCACAGGGCAGCCATCTTGAGACATCAACTATCCGTCAGCAAAAGTCTTGGATAAGGACGTCAGAGTGAAAACCTGAAGGAACCAGGGGTTGCTATTGGCAGCATCGGGCTGCATCATGTGCTCCCACAATTATTGGCTGAGAAATAGGGAGTCTATTTATAATTTAGTTTTTTTTTTAAAGATTTATTTATTTATTATGTATACAGTGTTCTGTCTCTCTGTATGCTTGCTGGCCAGAAGAGGGCACCAGATCGCATTACAGATGGCTGTGAGCCACTATGTGGTTGCTGGGAATTGAACTTAGGACCTCTGGAAGAGCAGTCAGTGCTCTTAACTTCTGAGCCATCTCTCCAGCCCCTTAAGTTTTTTTTAACTAAAGTAATTTTGTGGATTTGGGGGGGCATTTGTGTTAGAATGCATTCAACATACTTATTTATAATTTTTATTTACGTGTGTGTGTGTGTGTGTGTGTGTGTGTACGTATGTACCACACTTGCACAGGTGCCCTTGGAGTCTAGAAGAGGATGTCAGATCCCCTACAGCTGGAGTTACAGGTGGTTACAAGCTGCCCAATGTGGATATCGAGAACTGAACTCGGGTCTTCTGCAACAGCAGTAATCACTCTTTTCTGGTTTAGATGTATGTGCTTGAGCGTTTTGCCTGCAGGTATGTGTGAGCATCAGGTATGTGCCTGGTGCCAGAGGAGGTCAGAATAGGGCATCAGACCCCTGGGAACCAAGCCCATGCCCTCAACTGTTGAATTATCTCTCTAGCCCCATACCTTCATTGAGACAGGGTTTCACTATGGTCTTGAATGCCCAAAGATGCACTTGCTGTCGCCTCCAGAGCACTGGGATCAAGGACGTGAGTCAACATGACCAGCCTATCCGTAAGATATGCTCGACTGCTGGGCTATCTCTTCAGTCCCAAGGAAAACACATGTTTGATTTTGTTATGTATTTTTTTTGTTGTCATTGTTTTGTTTTTATGAGACAGTGTCTCACTCTGTAACCCAACTTGGCCTGGGATGACTATGAAGTACATTTGTGGCGATTCTCCTGTCTCTACTTCCTGAGTGCTGGGATTACATGTGTGAGTCACTGCCCATAGCTTCATAGCTTGTTATTTATTTTATTTTTTAAGATTTATTTATTTGCATTTTGTGTGTATGGGTGTTTTGCTTGCATGTATGTCTGTGTACTATGTATATGCCTGGTACCTGAAGGTCAAAAACAGTTGTTGGATTCCCTGGAACTAGAGTTAAAGATGATTGCTAATGGCCATCTGGGTTCACTTCAGTCCTTTGGAAGAGCAGCTAGTGTTCTCAAATACTAAGCCATCTCTCCAGCTCCCCAAAGTATTGGTTTTATATATATAAAAAAACAACAGACAAGAAAACCCAGTAAGGGCTTCCTCAGTGATCGATCCTAGCAGTACACAATCTATACAGTGGGCTTGCTAATGAAACCAGGAAAGAAGTTTATTCATTAGGAAGAGTGGGATGGAGGGTGGAGTAGCAAAGACTTACCCAGATAGCACACCCAGCACAAGGTTTAGCATAAAAAAGGAGCCGATAATGATGAGGGGGATGAAGTACAACCAGTTCCAAGTGTTCCCTGAGGCATCGTTGCTCTGCAGAGTGCAAAGAGGAAAACCATGTGAGATGGGAGTGGGGCCCAGGTGGGACTGAGGAGGAGCAATAGGGTTAGCGTCACATCTCCTGTGATTGACTTGTGGGATCCTGGCACTCTGGAAGCCAAGTGGAGGATAAAGTTTAGATGGTGGGGAATATCATCAAGGTACCACCAGGGGACAAAGCTCTCTCATGTCACACACAGTTCTCAAGGCATCTGGGAGCCAAGGTGATGCCTAAGAGGATTTTGGACCTGAGTCTGAAATGAGAAGGAAATACACACACACACACACACACACACACACACACACACCACTGAAATGTAGAAAAGAATGAATCCCTGGATCCCACATGAGTCTTTACATAGTCACCATTTCCCCTTAGAGGAAGCATATGGTTACAGTCTCATAGTCTGGTGAATTCAGAGCCACAAGCCTGTTCCTCAAGTTTATCTCCTTCACTTCCTGGAATGTGATGAGAATCACATGATAGAAAACTATCTCTAGGGAGTAGGAGTCCACAGATAGAATACTTCTGAAGTGGAGAACAGAAAACTGAAAGAGAATGAGGGGAAAAGAAGATGAAAACAGAAAATGAAGAGGATGAAGAAAGGAGGGGGGATGGGATGAGAGGAAAAGGGGAGAGCTGGTTGCAGGGAATGACTGGTATGAACACTAAGTGAGCATTTACTATGTGTCTGCCCTCCTCTAAACATATCACTTATATAATTCACTTGTATCTTCTTCACAAAACACTATATAACCACCATGTGCACTTTTACAACTGGAATGAAGGCTGAGAAAGACAACCAACAAGCCCAGAGTCACAGAGTGCCAGATGTGAGTTTTGAATGACCAAATCTGTGGACCTGACCTGTGTCTTGGAGAAGATTCTCCTACAGTCTAGGGATAGAGGATCCTTCCAGTGGTTGATCACCTGTGGCACTTGGAAAATGTGAGTTCTTAAGTGTGGCTTTAAAAGCTCATCTTTAGAAGTAAGCACAAGTATTATAGGAAGAAAGCTAAAACAATAAAGGCTGATATTACAATCACTAGTGAGGCTATGGAGCAACTGGAACATTAAGGTCCTGCTGACACAAAGGAACTATAATGTATTAGGGTCCTGTTGCTGTTGTAACAAAAGTCACAAATTGGATGGCTTTAAAATGGAAATTTATCTCACAGTTCTGTAGGGTAGAACTCTAAGGTCAATTTGTGGGCATGGTTGGTTCTTCTGAAGGCCGGGAGAGGATCTGTTTCCCATCTTTCTCCAGGCATCTGATACTTCTCTGCCCGTCCTGTGTCACTCACTTCCAACTCTGCCTTCATCTTAGCATGGCATACTTCCTGTGTGCGTCTGACTATATTTATCCTTTCCATAAAGGCATCAGTCATATGGCTTAGGGACATCTACTGACCCCAATATAATAAATTACATATGCAGTGACTATTTCCAAATCAAGTCACATTTTGAGCTATTGGTGCTGGTGATAAGATTTTTACTATGGTTTGTTGTCATTGTTTGTGTCAGGGCTGAAACCTAGTGCCTGCGCATGTGGCAGAAGAACTCTAGGACTGAACCACACACCGAGACCTGTTGTTTGCTCAGGAAGGGTAGCATAATGTAGCCCAGGCTGCCCTCAAATTTCTGATCTTGCTGACTGGGATGACAGCCATGCACCAACACACCAAGATAATATAAGTTTTGAAAGGACAGAGCTCTCTGAGAAATAGCAGTTTCTACTCAAACTGATGGGTGCATCACCAAGCCCTGGCCACGCCACTCCCAGATGGTTACCCAATGGAAATGTGAAGCTATGTTCACCTCAGACATGCACAAGAATGTTCACAGTGCACACCAGAAAGATGCCCCAAGCTGTGAACAATCTAGAACATTACCAGCAGGAGGCGGTATACAAGAGTGGAATTCGGATGACAGGCTGCCACAGGAACTGTACAGCAATGCCAAGTGAAAATGTCCACACACAGACAGCACACACGTGTGACTCCTAGCCAGACACAGAATTACATGTTGTATAGCAATTTCTTCTGAGATAAAACCAGTGACTTCAGAGGGAGGTTTCTTAATAGACAGAGGATGTTCCTTTTTTTGGGGGGGGGTTGTTTTGGACAGAGGATGTTCTAAGGGGAGGTGAAACAATCCACTTTGCAGAGATGCTCCTTAAATTCAGAAGCAAACAACTCAAAATCTTCAGGAAGCCTCTGAAACTGACCAGATTCACTACGCCTCTCCCTCCCCAAGGGCTGCTGCTGGACTCTCAGATAAGCCGAGCCTCCTGAAAGAAGTAGGGACCAGACACACTGCTTGAGAGATACTCGCACCACTGAGTCACCTGAGAGAGTCTTCTACCTGTTGACCTGGCTGCAGGTGTGGTGCATTCCAAGTCTCCAGTTTTTGTGAGCTGCCACCATTGCTGGAGTGGACTTTGGTGATGAATCATTTTTGTTCTTTTAAGTAACCTCTCACACACAGTCCTGTAAGTAACCTCAGGAAAACTTACTGGAACACCACATGACTTCGGTGGTGTCTGTGCTTTGGTTCCCTATCTGAGGTGGGTGTGTCCCTCCTCAGATTCCTCCAGGACTTTGGTGGTGTCCTACTTTGGTTCCCCTATCTGAGGTGGGTGCGTCCCTCCTCAGATTCCTCCAGGACTTTGGTGGTGTCCTACTTTGGTTCTCCTATATGAGGTGGGTGCGTCCCTCCTCAGATTCCTCCAGGACTTTGGTGGTGTCCTATTTTGGTTCCCCTATCTGAGGTGGGTGCGTCCCTCCTCAGATTCCTCCAGGACTTTGGTGGTGTCTGTGCTTTGGTTCCCCTATCTGAGGTGGGTGCGTCCCTCCTCAGATTCCTCCAGGAACAGTGCCACACAACAGCATGAAACACTCTGCAGCCAGACATCACGGATGCAAGGAAAAAAGCGACCTGTGACCGGAAGCTGAGGCAGGATGACTTGAGCACCGAGTGCAATGTCAACCCAGGCAGCACAGACTGTCGCAAAAGTTAACCACTCGCCTTTAATCCCAACCTAGTCTACATGGAGAATTCCAGGCAAGCCAGATGATAGTGAGGGCCCTTCTGAAATAATAACACAGTTAAGATCGGGCTGGGGGTGTGGCTTAGAAGTAGAGCACTGACTTGCATTAGACTCTGAGTTCCATCTTCTACAATATGAGAAAAAGAATTAGCTACATTTATTGCTAATGTGTTTACTCACATAATTAAAACAAAAAGTCACATTTAGTCATGGCCACTGACAGGATTCTGGAGAAAATGAGTGTCTGAGACCCTCCCTAGTCCACAGTCTGTGCTGCCAACCCCAGCACCCAGTGCTTTGTTCCCGAAAGACTCTGAAGGAAGAAAGAAGCCACTGGAATATGCTGGACAGAAGGCAGCACGGCTTTGTCCTCCTCTTGGCACGGTGGGGCTGAGCTTCTCGTTCGAGTTCCTCAGGCTAAATATAGTGCTGGGAGCTAGAGCCAGCACCACCAGCAGCCAGCGAGAAGCAGGGCTCTGGGCTGTCACATGGGATGGCTCAGATGGGGACGGAGCGGGGTGGTGGAGGGGCGGGAAGGTAGCCTCTTTCCTCAGTTGCACTCGGCTGCACTGAACTCCCTGACAAGGGCTGTGTGACAGGCGTGGAGCTTTGGCCTATTGAAACCAATGAAAATCCTCTTGTGAACCCCAAGAAGGAGAGTACGACCATTTGTCCTCTCAGGTGGGAAACCCAAGTGCAGAGAGGCAAAACCACATGCTCACTGGCCTGCGGTTCATGGAGTCTCCCAGGATCTGTAAGTGACCCCCAGACTCTCTGCAGGTGCTACCATATCAAGATGAACTCATCAGGGCAGGTCCTAATCTTGTGACCAATGTCCTTTCATAAAGAGGCAGTCAGGACAGAGAGACGGACGGGACGTACAGAGAAGGACGAGGCAATGGGGAGGTCAAGGTGGGGATGAAGAGTGTCAGTGAGCGAAGAGACAGAAAGAAAGGATTCCATACAGGTGTCTGAAGGCCACAGCCTGCTGACACCTTTGGAATGAGGACAGGACAAATTTCTGTTGTTTTAAGCCACTCAGTTTATGGGAAGAAGGGACAGGGAAAGGACATGTCCTTTAGAGACAACCCTGATGCCTGCTTTCTCACCTAGCCTCTGACTGGCAGTCTGTCCAGGTTTGAGTTCACCCATGGATGAACCCCGAGGAGGCCAGCATCCTGTCAGGTTCCCAGTGATGACCCCCCCAGGAGGCCAGCACCCTCCCTGTCAGGTTCCCAGTGATGACCCCCACCCCCCAGGAGGCCAGCACCCTCACGATCCACATCTCAGTTAGGACCGTCCTCAACACAGCAGTTGTGAAAACGGTACCTGCGCACAGTTGCTGGGATAAAATCTCCCGACAAAGGCAACCCAAAGGCAAGTGTTCCAGCTCAAAGTTCAGCCCTGCAGTCCCGCCCAGTGGGGAAGTCAAGGCACCAGGAGGTAGGAGCAGCCAAGCTGCAGTCAGGAGCAGAGGGATGGGGCTGTGTTGGTTTTGTTTCTCCTCTTTATACAGTGCAAGATCCCAGCCTAAGAAAGGCTTGTTCCCTTGGTGGTCATTGAGGTCCTTCTTCCTTAGCGGACCTCTTTGAGATAGTCCCTCCTGAGCCCGGTGGTGGTGGTGCAAGGCTTTAATACCAGCATTTGGGAGGTGGGGGCAGGCAGATCTCTGTGAGTTGGAGGTCAGCCTGGTCTATAGGTGAGTTCTAGGACAGCCAGAGCTACACAGAGAAACCCTGTCTCAAACAAACAAAAAACCAAAACAAACAAACAAGAGAAACAGTTGTGCCTAGGTGTGTCTCCAGGTTATTCCAGATCCTGTGAGGTTGACAACACTCACCACATGTCACGGTCTTGCACCCTGAAGTAACCCTCCCTCATTCATGTTCCTGTATCTCCACACCTGTGCACCTGTGAGTATGCCCAGTGAATTCGTTGGTTTGC